AGAGTAGTCCTAGAACGAGCTGGAATTTTCAGCATGTATACAATATTGAAACAGTGCCGTCTACGTTGGCTTGGGCACGTCGTGAGAATGGCTGATGGTCAGATTCCAAAAGATCTCCTGTATGGAGAATTAGTGAAGGGAAGCCGCCCCCGAGGGAGACCACAGCTGCGTTACAAGGACATCTGCAAGTGGGATCTGAAGGCCTTAGGAATGGACCTCAACAGATGGGAAAGCTTGACGTCTGAGCATTCAGCCTGGAGGCAGGCGGTGCATCATGGCCTCTCCCAATTTGAAGAGACACTTGTACAGCAGACCAAGGCAAAGAGGCAGTCCCGAAACAAGCAAAACCAGGGAGCTGGACAGGGGACAGATTGGATTTGTCTCCAGTGTGGAAGGGATTGTCACTCTCAAATTGGCCTTCTCAGCCACACAAGACACTGTTCCAAGACCTCCATACAGAGAACGATACCATAGTCTCTCGAGACTGAAGGATGCCTACATGATCTCATTTGACCTGAAGTTGTTAGCCATCAATAAGCTGCTGCTGCTGCTGCTGTTGACCTCAGTACTCTCTCACTGCCAGCCCTATCCTTAATGTATGAATAACCACTGTTCACCTACAGCTTTGTACACATTACACAGTATACACATCAGATACACACCTGCCACACACAGTTTCTTCTACTGTTCCAGCTTACCTGCTGCAAATAGTTGACAAATTTGCACATGAAGTCCCCAAAGACCCAGCTGGGCAGAGGGTAGAGTGTGGCAGTGAAAGGTACACAGCATATGAGGAAGATGATGTCGGTGGTAGCCAAGTTTGCTGCAAATGACAGAAAGCTGATGTTGCATTTTGGCCTGTTGAAACATTCCTTGGAACTTGTAACATTATTTTTTAAAGAACACTTGTTATTTCCTATTTACATAGTAGCATAATAGTAGCATATTACTGTATCTTTTAGTTGCTTTGCTAATGGTTATTTTAAAGACAACCTCAGGCAACAGTGTAGGAAATAAACTCTTCTCCTTGTGCTAAAAAAGAAAGAAAGAAAAGCCAGTGTTAAAACTCCTTTGTTATTTTTATCAGGTAAATTGTTACCTCTTGGTCATCCTAAAAAGTAACATGCTTACACCTCTTTGCTTTGTTTCCTTTAAATAATATTAATAATGTGAAATTGAACCAAGGAACTGAGAGTGGATTTGAAAGCATCTTCATTTAATTTCCAGCTGAACGAATTCTAGACGATGCTTGTATTTGCATACATGAACATAAGATGAAGGAAATATTATTGCAAAGTTGACATGGTTATGGTTGTTGTGGTTTTTTTGGGCTCTTTGGCCGAGTTCTGATGGTTGTTTTTCCTGATGTTTTGCCAGTCTCTGTGGCCGGGGGTTTCCTCGGGGGTGGCCTACTCCAGTCCTCTGAAGATGCTGGCCACAGAGACTGGTGAAACGTCATGAAAAACGACCTTCAGAACACGGCCAAAGAGTCTGAAAAACCCACAACAACCATCAGATCCCGGCCATGAAAGTCTTCGAGAATACATTGACATGATTACTTTAAATAGCAGTCAGGGCTCCAACAGAGGACTTGATTGAGTAGCAGGAAAGGTGTGCGTTGGATTGTTTACAAGGAGCAGTCTCCCCTAAAGTGACCCTTCCATCCATTGGGGAATCATTCCATCCCACCCCTCAAAAACTAGTAGCTAGGTCCACCTTGGATATGGATCAGGGATGAGCTGAAGTGCAATTCCCCATGTGTTGTATGATTGCTGGTAAACAGATTGTACCACACCACTCCACAAGTGGTCCAAAAGTCAGTCTATTTGCCCATGAGATCATACCCACCCAGAGATAGAAAAGGAGGTGAAAGAGCTCCAAAGAGGGACATCAGAACCACTGCTATGGAACAGCCATTTCCAAACTTGGGTCCACAGATGATATTGGATTTCAACTCCACAATACAGGGTGTGATCAGATGGAGACAGAGCTTGTATTTTGGACCACTTGCAACATGAACCACTGCAAGCTACCTTCTGGCAATCACATAACACACAGGAGATCATGAACCAGATACAGGGTGTGATCAGATGGAGACAGAGCTTGTATTTTGGACCACTTGTAAGCTACCTTCTGGCAATCACATAACGCACAGGAGATCATGAACCAAACCAACCCTGCTCCATGATCAAGCTGTACTGTTTTGGTCCAGCCATGGGATTACTCACTTTTTGGGTCCAGCTGGACTGATCCCTGTAGGGATGGAAGGGCCATGTTAAGGCAGATCAGCACCAGCAAAGTGACCCTTCCGAGCAAGCTCAGACAGAAACTATTGGTCCTGGAAACAGCTGTGATGGATTTTGGGAACTGTAGTCCTAAAATAGCTGGAGACAAGTTTGGCAGCCACTGGTCTAGATTAGTCACAAATGCCCTGTTCATGGAATACAGGTCTTCACACAAAGAGTAGAATGCTTAGCAGTGGCAGACCTTGGGATACAGAGCAAACTAACCTCTCCTCCCCATTAATATGGCTCATATGAAAAAATTAATAATCTGCACTTTTTCACATTAATGAAAAAGAAGAAAGCAACCAGATAAAGGAAGACAGGCTGTGTGAAAAGTTGGGAGCTGATCCCCCCACACACACACACACACAAGGTAGCTTCTCCCAACCATGTTATTACACACACACACACACACACACAAAGTAGGTAGCTTCTCCCAACCATGTTATGGATAGATTCAAGGACTAGCTTCAGATATCCTGACTGGTACCCTTGACAAGTTCAAAGCAGCAGAACATGGGGGCTCCGGTGCTTTTAATACCTGTGCAGTTCCTTCAAGGCAAGGTAAAATAGATTTGAACCCTCTTGCTGCATGATAGATTCAAGGACTAGCTTCAGATATCCTGACTGGTACCCTTGACAAGTTCAAAGCAGCAGAACATGGGGACTCCAGTGCTTTTAAAGGAAAACTGTGAATGCTGTTAAATTCTCACTGTGTACCAACAAGAGAGGGCTGAATTTGTATTTAGTATGGGAGCCTACCTTCCACCAATATCTTTTTAATGCATAGAATGTTTGTTTACAACTCTCCTATAGGCAGAGTATAATATCCCATTGAATCCTATGGGGCTCACTCCCAGATAAGTGGGTGTGGGATAGCATGGGAGTAAGCCTCACTAAAGAAAGTATGGCTTCCTTCTGGGTAGTCACATATACTGTATTCTGTTAACATAGAGGACTGTGTCTAACAGTATTGATAATATGTATGTAGAACTATTCTGAACTTTGTAGTGTTGGGGAGGAGCTGTGTGATAAACGTGTTGAATAAATACCAGTTACTTGTGTGTTTGTTATATCAATCTGCTGTTTATGAAATCATTAAATGCAATCAAAGTATGTCTCAGAAATGACTAATCCTAGAAAACACTTTATTTACTCCATTGGATGGAGAAGTTGGCAAGTGATACAGTAGTGTGAAAACCAAACTACTGCAAAGGAAGCTAATACTTCAGGTACCCTTGGCAAATTCAACATGCCATGTTACTTTCAAAGCCTTTGTTTTCTTGTTTTACTTACAAACCACGGGAATTAAGAGACTGAAATGGTTGCATATGATGAGACTAGGAAACATTCAGCACCCTGATGGGCACAATCTGACCGAATGATAGTTCAAGGAAGAAATCAGAACTTGGGAATTAGAGGCTGAGCAAAAGGACATCGTACAGCAGTACTGTACTCTTTCTGTCCCGAAGCCTGGAAGAAGTGACCACTTTGGGAAATTTTGCTGTGACTCTGAGGCAAGCACAGACAGAGGAGAGAAGGTAGATGAGGGGGCAGCTCACTCACCAATGTAGAAGTTGGTGGCCGTGCGCATCTGGCGATGCTTGCCGATGACATAGATGACCAGGGAGTTCCCCGCCAGGCCGAGTAGCATGATGAGGGCATAAAAGACAGGCACAAGCCATGCATCAGTCAGAAAAGGGGGCGACGTGTCCTCCTCACGGCTGCTGTTAAAGGCCCACGGGTGCAGACCAACTCGGGGGCCCTCCGGCCCGGGCTGGCCACCACTTGGGACGCTCACCCCGGACCGGGTGGGCTCTGCAAGCCAGGCCTCCGAAGGCACCGGCGAGGCATCCATTCTCGGCGGAAGAAGGCGGCCGCCCCAGGGTCCCGCAGGGAGGGCTCGGGCAGCAGGAGGTCAGCCCATCCCTCGGAGCAAGGCGGACGGGGGAAACTCGCCGACAAAGACCAGCCGGAGAAAAGCGGCCGAGGGGAAGCTCCGAGGGCAAGTGGTCTCCCCTCAGCCGAGAAGAAGGCGAGCGGCAGGGATCGTCCGGGCAGAAGCCGGGCTAGCCGCCGCCGAGCGGGAAGAAAGCCGGCCTCTGCCCTCCCTCCACCCGGGAAGGCTTCACCCCGGCTTCGCGAGGGCGGCCAGGACGCCGAAGGAAGCTGCCCCGGGGAGCGCTCCGGGCCTGCCCGCTTCCTCGACACTTAGCGCCGCCGCCGCCCCCACCGTCCGCTGAGCCCCGGTCGGAGTCCGGACTGGCCGAGGGCGTCTTGGGGCTTCGAAGGGGACCCCATCTTGCCCCGGGAGAACATTTCCTCCTCCGGCGGGTCGCGCGGGGGTGGTCCCGCTCTGCCAGAGGGCAGCCCCGGCCGTCGGCGCGCAGAGGCGCCGATCACTCCCGTCCCGCTC